GGGGGGGAGGGAGAACAATGGGAGAAAAGCACACAAGTGACCCCGATAATTGCCTTCGCAGCAGAGAATACTTTCAGCCTCAGGAAACAGGTCTAACGATGTCGCTAAAACTGCAGAAAACGCATTCAGAGAGCGGAAGGGGAAGCTGCCGTGGGTGGGCGGGAGGCAGAAAACAAGACCCACCAATCATCAGAGAACTCAGCAGGTCAGGCCCCAAACCCACACGGCCAGAGAGACCCGCTCCTTACAAAAGCAAGGGCTCGCTTTACGGAGAGGGAGGCGGCCTCCGGGGCCCAACGAGGGAGCGGGAAGCTAGCAAGCGGATGATCAGCGCCAGCTCCTCTCGGCCAGGAAAAGCAGCCCCGGACACGCGAGTCTGACCAGGGCCAGTTAACGGGCTCTGGCCGCCCAGGGGCGGCGCCGAGCGCCCCGCCCCCAGGACCGCGCTCCCTACTCGGCGGGCCCGGGGCGGCCGTTATATCCCCCACACAACAGGGGCGGGCATGGAAGCTTCCCGGACCCGAGAGACTCAGGACCGCACAACCACGGCGAAGACCCGCAAATCAGGGCTCGCAGGGGTCCTGGGGGCGCGGAGGGCACCATGTGAGCCGCCACCCGACCCGATCCCACGGGCCTACGGAGAGACTTCCGAGGACGCGGGACTCGTTTGGCTCTCCTGGCGCGCGGCCGTCGGGAACCCCAAAGCCGCCCGGCCCTCGCTCGCACCCCCCGCCGCCCGCGTACGCTCCCGTCCAGGGAAGCCAGGGCCTCGGGCCCCCCCCCCCCCCCCCCCCCCCCCCCCCCCCCCCCCCCCCCCCCCCCCCGCCCTCACCGTGCTCCGTTCCTCACTCCGCGCCCGCCGCCACTACGACTACGTTACGCGCAAGCGCATCTCATCCTAGGGAAATACTTCCGGGGACGAAGCGGGCAGGGCCTCCCGAGTGCGCATGCCCGCCCAGGCCGGAGAGGTGGGCCGGAGGCTCGGGAGGCGCGAGAAAAGGGGGCGGGACTGAGAGTACAGGCCGGGATTCTAAGTGCGCGTGCGCGCCAGCCTCTTGACGCCTTCTCGGTGGCTCTAATTCGCGCGGGCTCAGGTCTCGCGGGAGGTCGGGTTGCGACTCGTTCCGCTCCGCCTGCTTCTGTCCGCTTCGGCAAAGGGCGCCACTGGTCGTGAGGGTACCTTACTCTGTTCCCACCCCGGATCCAGCTTGTTGCGCAGTTATATGTGACGATCGTCTGTTTTGTTTACTGTCTCCTGCGCGCCGCGCGCCCGAGGTCGACGGGATGGGTGGTTCGGCAGCGCGCAAGCGCAATGGCTGCGGTAGTACTTCCGGGAGGACGGCGCTGTGGGACTTTTTTGGCGCGAGGGCGGCCGGCGGCCCGGAGGGCGCGGCTCGCGCTCCGTGTTTTGGGTCCGGGCGGCGCCATGCGCTACAACGAGAAGGAGCTGCAGGCGCTCTCCCGGCAGCCGGCCGAGCTGGCGGCCGAGCTCGGCATGCGGGGCCCCAAGAAAGGCAGCGGTGAGCGGGCCGGGTCACCGAGGCGGGCGCAGGGGGACGCGGGCGGGCGGAGGGGGGGTGGGCGGCCACCGAGCCCGCGCGAGCCTGCCCTGTGCTCGCAGTGCTGAAGCGGCGATTGGTGAAGCTGGTGGTCAACTTCCTTTTCTACTTTCGGACGGACGAGGCCGAGGTAGGCCGCCCGGGGGGCGCCCTGGAGCGCACGGGGGCCGGGGTTCCCCCGGAGGCGCGCCCCCACCCTCGCCTGCTCCTCCTCTTCCCGCAGCCCGTCGGAGCCCTACTGCTGGAGCACTGCAGAGTCACCCAGGAAGAGCCCAGCGGCTTCTCCATCAGTGAGTGTCGGGCGTGGCGGACGAGGCCGGCCGCGACCCCAGCCCCGCC